CTGGTTCAATACCATTATATATATATATATATATAGATAGATAGATAGATAGATAGATAGATAGATAGATAGATAGATTAAAGAGGGTTAGGGATGTAACTCAGTGGTAAAATACCTCTGGGTTCAATCCCCAGAACCAAAAAACAAAAAGTAGCTGAGATAACAGTCCTGTGTCACCTGGATACCAAGGATTTTACATCCTCCTTAACAAGTCAGGAAATAAAGTTATACAATGAAATACTGCGAGGAAACTCAATCATGTCCCTCAAAATTCAGACATTGAAGTCCTAACCCCTAGTGCCTCAGAATGTGACCTTATCTGAAGATTGGGCCTTTATAGAGGTAACTAAGTTAGGAGGAGGTCATCAGGTTGGACCCTAGTCCTAAATGACTAATGTTTATATAAAAAGAAGAAATTTGGAGGCATAGCTCAGTAGTAGAGACTGGTCTAACATCACAAGACCTTGGATCTGATCCTCAACACCCTCCCCCCAAAATAATCCCAGAAATTTAGAGACTGGCACATAATACAAAGAGAACTCCAAAAAGCTTTCAATTTTTTGCTATGCTAGGTAAAACCAGAAACCAACTTTTGTTCTCTGAGGGAGACTATGCCTGAAAGATTTTAGTTGCCAAGTGGTTGTACAGTATGTCTTCATATGAATGTGAAGACAGCCATCCACAAGCCAAGGAAAGAGGCCTGGAACAGATCCCTCCTTCACCTCCTTTGTAAGGAATCAATTCTGGAACACCTTGATTTCAAACTTCTGGCCCCCAGAACAGTGAGGTAAAACACATTCCTATTGTTTAAGACACACAGTTAGTAGCCTGAGGAAACAGCAGCCTGAGGAAACTCATACACAAATTATTTCTGCAGAGCATTTACTCATGTTTAATATTTTGGGAGATAGAGAACTACCGAGGATGCTTTCAAATCTCTTGAAACAAAATATCACTTGTTTTTAGGAAAGGAAAATCACAAAAACATTAAGAATTACTATGTGCTTAGAAAATTAACTTCAAGCTCTCTAACATGAGAAAAACAGCCAACAATCACAATCAAGAAATTGTCCAGCTGGGCATGGTGGCACATGCCTGTAACCCAGCTGCTCAAGAGGCTGCATCATAGACTGGGAAATACTGAGTTCAAAGCCAGCCTTAGCAATGTCAAGGTGCTAAGCAACTCAGTGAGACCCTGTCTCTAAATAAAATACAAAATAGGGCTGGGGATGTAGCTCAGTGGGAAGTGCCCCTGAGTTCAATCCCTAGTACCAAAAAATAAATAAATACATACATACATACATACATATATACATAAATAACAAATTGTCCTTTAACTATCCAGTAGGAAAGGTTGCAATTTAAACTATACAATTATTTAAATGTTAACCCATAACCTAACATTCACTTGGGACTATGTGCTTATTTAAAAATAAAAGCAAATTTCATCAGTTTACAGGAAATACAGGGAATAAAAGCACATGTAAACACCACATGGAAGCAAAAGAAGAATGTGGGACATTCTACAGGACAAATGACCTGGTTTCTACAGTAAAAACACAGCAGTGAACAAAAACAAGAAGAAAAGGATGTTTTAAATAAAGAAGATCTGAGAGATATATCAACCAAATGTCATGTTTGGATTGTTTGTGAATCAATAAAAATGACATTTTTTAAGAATCTGAAAAAATCTAACATGGACTTAGACGACACTAAGTGTAATTTCTTACACATAATGATCAATGTGATTATGCCAAAGTGCCTTTTTCTTTTCTTCTTCTTATTTTTGTTTTTGGTACTAGGTATTGAACACAGAGACACTTAACCCTTGAGACACATCCTCACGCCTTTTCATGTTTTATTTAGAGACAGGGTCTTGCTAAGTTGCTTAGGGCCTCACTGCCGCAGTCTGGCTGGGCACAATTCAGGAGCCACTTGTCAAAAGAAACAAACTTTATTTTTAGAATCACACACGCCAAACAAAACAGCTCCTCAGGAAAAACCTTCAGAGCCCAACTGCCACCACTGGCTTCCCACAAGCCTCTCCACCTCCCCCACTCCTCCTGCTCTTGAGGCCGATTGGCTGGGTCGTGTGGGGGGAGCCAAAAAAGTCCCCCAATGAGCAGCTCCGTGGTCTAAAAGGGCAGGGAAACAGCCCAATGAGCATCACCGCAGAGGAGCCAATCAGCTAGATGTTGCTGGGGCCGCTGTGAGCCAATCATCGGCTGGCAGCTGGAAGTTTGCTGGCAGCTGGAAGTTTGCTGGGGCCCCTTGGGCTATGGCTCTCAACACCTCACTAAATTGCTGAGAATGGCTTTGAACTTGTGATCCTCCTGCCTTAGCCTCCAGAGCCATTGAGATTAGAGGTGTGCACCACTGCATCTAGTACCAAAGTGTCTTTTTCATGCCCATAAATTTAGGCAAAAAGATATGTCCAGGATTTACTTTAAAGTACTATCCCTTCACTCCCCTCAAAATAGAAATAAATGAAAAATTATGTTACAAATGTGGATAATTGTTAAAAGTTAGGTATTGAGTACATAGAGGTTCTGGTTTATATATTTTTAAACTTCCATTAAAAATTTTAATGCAAGCTGGGTGCTATGCAACATGCCTGTAATCTCAGTGCCTTAGGAGGCTAAAGCAGGAGGATCACAAATTCAAAGGCAGCCTCAGCAAAAGTGAGGCACTAAGCAACTCAGTGAGACCCTGTCTCTAAATAAAATACAAAATAGGGCTGGGGATGTGGCTCAGTGGACAAGTACCCCTGACTTCAATCCTCAGTATTCCCTCCAAAAATATTTCCATGCAAAGCAGGGCATAGTGGTGCACACCTGTAATCCCAGTGATTTGGCAGGCTGAGGCAGAAGGATTGTGAGTTCAAAGCCAGCCTCAGCAACTTAATGAAGCCCTACTCTACTTAGTAATGTGGCTCAGTGGTTAAGCATCCCACTACTCTACTACCAAAAATAAAAATTAATGCAGTATGCCCTATATTATACATATATTAATTACTTTCATCCTCATAACAATCCTGACAAGGCTACCATTATTTCCTCCATTTTACTGAAAAATGAAATAAATATCCTTATTAATGTTGTTAAGGTGAAAGTTTAGTATACAATGGGGAGAGGACCACTCATTTCTGTTTTAAGCTTAAAACTTTAAATTCAACAACAAAGTAGTAGTAGTCATGGTTAAAGAATGTATATAAAGAAATAAGCAACTTAAGACAATTATCAGTCCATTAAACTGAGAATAAGTCTTAATTTTCCATTCAATTAGTACCCAGGTTCAAAGTTAGTGTAATATCTATTTTCCCATCACTAATTTTCTACTTGTTTTTCACTTTAAATGTTTATAATACATATTCTGGCACTATGGAAATAAACTACTTTACAACCTACGTTATTAACCAGTTCAAATAGCACTGATTTTTCTTAAAATAACCCATTTTCAAATTTTGGGCTTAATTTAGGAGAAGAAAAAAACCAAATTGCACAGATAAGTCAAAGGTCACTTTTACTGTTGGTGTGAAGTTTATATTATTTAAAAAATTCTAAAATAGCATCACACAAAGGTAAGTATTGGAAGGTAAATATTAAAGGAATGGACTGGGTGCAGTGGCGCACTCCTATAATCTCTGTGGCTCAGGAGGGTGAAGCAAGAGGATCACAAATTCAAAAGCAGCTTCAGAAACTTAGCAAGGCCCTCAGCAACTTAGTGAGACGCTGTCTATAAATAAAATCTAAAGAAAAAGGGGGTCTGGGATGTGGCTCATTGGTTAAGTGCTTCTGCATTCAGTTCCTGGTATCAAAAAATATATAAAATGGGTCTAACACAGTGGTGTACACATGTAATCCCAGCAGCTCTGACGGGGAATACAGGAGGATTACAAGTTCAAAGCCAGCCTTAATAACTGAGTGAGACCCTGTCTCTAAATAAAATACAAAACAGGGCTGTGGATGTGGCTCAGTGGCCGAGTGCCCCTGAGTTCAATCTCTAGTATCAAAAAATAAAATAAAATAAAAATAAAATGGTTTCATCATACTTTCCTGCTAATGTAAGGTAACCTGACCTTAGGAAAGCCATGGTACTGGTGAGGGAAAGAGGAAAAGGATACAAGAATTAGAGGACTAATAACTAGGTTTACGAAATATCTTTATGGATTTTGTGCCACTCTAACAGAGAAAGGGGAGCTGAAAAAGAATCTAGTATTTGGGGGCTAAATCTTGCCTCTGACATTCATGAAGTATGGACATTGGGTACATAAGTTCTGCTGTCTTTCATTTCTGACCTTGTAAGGCAGTTGTGAGATGAAATGAGATCAAGATGTAAAGTACTGGTCACAGTGCTAAGCAAATAATTGCTTCATAACAGTTAAGCACCCCCTTGCAAAAAAAGCTGCTTGTACCTGGGTCAGAAAAAAATCCTACCACCTGTGATGGAGTGGTGATTTGATCTTTTTGAGTTTGGTGGATAATCCTTGGATAATTAAAAGGTTTAATTCTGTACTTGGCTTGTGCTGTTAAATACACACATACATATAAATACGCACAAAACATAAACTAGTAAGGTACAATGTGTCCCTAAACTCAGCTCACTAAGAACTGAATGTGAAACAATAACAATAAAGGCCACTTTAGCTGGTCTTTGAAAAAATTCATCAGAGAGAGCTTTAAGAAAACATAACTGGTAATTATGAAGCTACAAGCTTAATTTTTATATATAACCTTCTTCTTTGAGATCCTTGGAAGAAACTAGGTTCAAAATATAAGGGTATGTGGTATTTCTAGAAACCAACAATTTATTAAAATAACTAATAGCCCAAATAAATAGAGAACTTAGTAGTTTGTTTTGTTTACAAAACCATTCCTAAAATTAGAAACTTAATTGCACATGACCTGGCTTAGAATTACTGAAACATAGATCTTTTTTTAAAAAAAAACAAAATAAAATTTACTTTTGTTAATGAACATCTATCAAGTTTGAAAGCCTTCTTACCTGTTTTATTTGATGCAAGCGGCTGGCAGAAGTACAAATAGGAGAAGGTAGGAACAACTGAAATTTAAAATAGAAAAGTCAAGCTTGTGTTAACATTTCTGATTAGTTATTTCTAAACACAAAGTCAAGGTTGAATCATCTAAGATACTTATTGAGCGTCTAATGTGTAAAGCATAAAGGTCACTGGTATAGCTTCATACCAATGGTACTGGTTAAGGTCAAATGTTAAAATATTCAATTGGATCTTGACCAAAATAATTATGCTAACCAAAGTCTAATATATTTCAAAACCCAACAAAATAACTATTAACAGAAATATAGGACAGAGCCTGGCATGGTGGTGCATACATGTAATCCCAGCAGCTCCAGAGGCTCAGACAGGAGGATCCCAAGTTCAAGGCCAGCCTCAGGAACGTAGTAAGGTGTTAAGCAACTTAGTGAGATCCTGCCTCAAAATAAAAACCAAAGCCAGGCCCAGTGGTGAAGCCTGTAATCCCAGTGGCTTGGGAAGCTGAAACAGGAAAATTGTGACTTCAAAGTCAGCATCAGCCATGGGGAGGCATTAAGCAACTCAGCGAAACCCTGTCTCTAAATAAAATACAAAATAGGGCTGGGGTATGGCTCATTGGGCAAGTATCCCTTAGTTCAATCCCTGGCCCCACCCCCCAAAAAATTAAAAAGGGCGAGGGATGTGACTCAGTGGTAAAACACCCCGGGTTTAATATCACAGTACCTCATTCTTCTTGCCAGTTTAAGGCCATCCTTAAAGCTTAGTGAAAAGCTTTTCTTGGAACAAATAGCAGAAACAGTCCTTATATCAGCAGATAACTTGCCAAACTTACAAAATGAACATAAAAGAAGCAACTCCGCCAAACACCTTGAAATCTAGGCAGGGAAACCAAATTTTCATTAATATCAATTGACTTTAGGCAATCATTTTCAAGTACTTAGCACATTTACTCTTGATTGCTATGATACTTGTTATCTATGTCCTTTCACTTTGGGGAGGCTACTTTCTCTTTTTAGGTCTTATGTCAAAGCTTATGACATCATTAGTGCTGTAGTGTGAATTTTCTGGGGTGCGTTGGATTTGAACTTGGGCTACAGAATCATAGAAAGTTTTTTTAATATATATATTTTTTAATTTTTTAGTTCTTAATCTACCTTTATTTATTTTTAGTTCTTAATCTACCTTTATTTATTTATTTTTTATTTATATGTGGTGCTGAGAATCGAACCCAGTGCCTCACACATGCCAGGCAAATGCTCTACCACTGAGCAACAACCCCAGCCCCTAATTTTTTTTATAGTAGATGGACACAATACCTTTATTTTATTTTCATGTGGTGCTGAGGATCAAACCTAGTGCCTCACACATGATAGGGAAGCACTCTACCAACTGAGCTACAACCCTAACCCCAGAAATTTTTTTTTAACTGGACAAAAAGTGAACCAAATACTAGACTGGCTGATTTTTTTATAGTAATAATGGAGAAAACAATTAATTGGAAGAGTTAAGTACCACAGTTGATGTCATAATTTCAGCCAGGCAATCTTCTAGTGATTTCCTGGACAAAGTTTTCCAATAGGAAATTCTAAAACTTTTCCTGAAACCAAACTGAGTCCTCCCTATCCCTTAGGTATCAGTGAAAAACAATCTCTTCCAGGAAGTCTTGTAATTAGTTTAGAATAGTTTAGCACACTCTGCAAAATGCCTCAGATAATTTTTCTACATAAAACAAAATATTAAAATAAAGTATCCTGAGATGTTGTTAAAACTCACCAGTATCTTCTGTGTTAATTTCTCACATGTCTCTTATACTCCAGGGGAAAAAAGGCGTTGGAAGGAAGCAAGAGTAGGGATGATGTCATAGTTTGGGGCAGGGGAGAGTAGGGTTGTAAGGAGGGATTGGGATGAGTGCTACATGAAACTGAAACTGATTCCTAGGATTTATCTCAAGTGAAGTAATTAAGATAGGAAGAAAGACTAATATTAGTTCCATTTAAAAGAAAAACCACAGAAAATTAATATTCTACAGATACTAAAATTTTAAAAGTAAATTTTAACTTTTCTAGGTGTGCTTTTACCCATTTCCTAGTCCTTACTAGAGATAAAAGGCTTAATTGTGAATGAAAAGTTGTATGCTGTGTTTAGAAATGTCTACCTGGTTCTAGAAATTACTTAAGTTGGTTTCCAATAGTACTTAACAAGAATTGAGTCCAGGCTGAACAGACACAGCACAGACAGAGCGAGGTCTGGAATGGATTATACACTTGCTGCTGGGTGAGTCATTAACTAGATTTAGGGTTTGTAGCTGTCAATGTGAAAAGTAAAACCCAATCAGGTAAATATCAATAGCTATAAAATTAAAGTGGATGAATTGCTCAAGAAAATACCATTTAAAGCACTCCAGTAATCCCAGCAACTCAGGAGGTGGAGACAGGAGGATCGGAAGTTCAAAGCCAACTTCAGCTAAGCAACTCAGTGAGACCCTGTCTCTAAATAATATACAAAATATTGCTGGGGATGTGGCTCAGTAGTTGAGTGCCCCTGAGTTCAATCTCTGATAACACCCTCTCCCAAAAAGAAAAACACAATCTTGTCTAATAAGAAGATGAAACATTTCTCCTGCTTCCTTTGGAATAGCAGGGGGCAGATAAGGATGGAGAAATGCCACAGTTGCACACAAATTCAACAGAGGTGCTAAGAAGATTCTTGGCAGAGAGGTGGGGAATGGGCATGCCAAACTCAGGGTTAAGAGATAAAGAAAAGGGGGGGCAAGGCAGGGTGGCACAGGCCTATAATCGCAACAGCTCAGGAGGCTGAAATAGGAGGATATCGAGTTCTAAGCCAACCTCAGCAAAAAGGAGGCACTAAGCAACTCAGTGAGACCCTGTTTCTAAATAAAATACAAAATAGGGCTAGGGATGTGGCTCAGTGGTTCAGTGCTCCTGAATCCCCAGAACCAAAAAAAAAAAAAAAAGTGGGGGGTGGTGGTGGTTTGAAGGGAAGGCAGAGTCCTAATATTCAGAAGAGAACCTCATGTTTCTACTAACTAGAAGTGGGATTCAGTAATTTCTTGAAAGTGGTGAAAAAAATATTTGTGCTTTATTAAGCAGAATAATTATGAGATAACTCACAATTATACAATGCATAAGAAATACGCATCCGTATTTATATTTGTTTGCTAAATAAAACCCACGGTTTTTCAATGCCATTTGTTACAGTGAATTTTTTTCCTAAAACATTGTTTTACCTATATTGAAATGCATGAAAAGCAGGACCAATTTTTTATCTTCAATTGTACATAACAAAATTTATCATTGTAATCATTTTTAAGTACACAGTTCAGTAGTGTTGTACACACTGTTGTACAACCAATCACCAGAACTCTTCATCTTTCAATACCGAAACTCTATACCCATTAAACAATACCTGCTGTTCCTCCCTCCTCCCAGCCCTGGCAATCATCAATTTACTGTCTCTATGAATTGACCACTCTAGGTACCTGCAATACCAATTTTTTTTTCAGGGGGCGGGGTACTGGGGATTGCACTCAGGGGCCCTCAACCATTAAGTTACATCCCCAGCCCTATTTTGTAATTTAAAAGAAACAAGGTCTCACTGAGTTGCTAAGTACCTCCTTTTTTGCTGAGGCTGGCTTTGAACCTGTGATCCTCCTGCCTCAGCCTCCTAAACCACTGGGATTATAGGTGTGCACCACCAACCCAGAGTCTATAGTACCAATTTTAAGGATAGTCCAGGATGGGAAAGACACTTACATACATATAGTTTATGAGCCAAGCACAGTGGCACAGACCTGTAATCCCAGCAGTTTGGGAAGCCGAGGTAGAAGGATCATGGTTTCAAAGTCCCAGCAAGGGCTGGAAATTCTGAGTGAGATCCTGTCTCTAAATAAAACACAAAATAGGGCTAGAGATGTGGCTCAGTGGTCAAGTTCCCCTGAGTTCAATCCCTGCTAACCCCCAACAAAAATATATAGTTTATGATACCACTCAACAATGCTTATATTTTTTTCAGGAATGATAGTTCTACTTTGTAATGTGATATGTTAGCTAGAAATGAAAAATACATTTATTGTTCATGCTTTCTGAAAAATATTTAAATACCATAGAGATCCATAAATTAGAAATAAAATTCCTGGGGCTGAGATTGTGGTTCAGTGGTAGAACACTTGCCTAACACATGCGAGGCCGGGGGTTTAATCCTCAGATTTATTTTGTATTTTATTTGCAGACATGGTCTGAGTTGCTTAAGGCCTTGATTTTGGTGAGGGTTTCTTTGAACTCATGATTCTCCTGTCTCAGCCTCAGGAGCCACTAGGATTACAGGCCTGGGCCACAACAGGGATGATGGTATATTTTGACAAAATAAAGTTATATGCATAGCACTATTACAGCAAGTTAAACCTATAAGCCATGAATGTTCCCATCACCAAATATGTAAAAATGAATTTAATTCTGCAAAACAATGTGTTTTATAAGATGGCTTATTTTAAATATGCATTATATTAAACTGAATTATAAGTAAATTAAGAAACTAAAATTCCTAAGAAATATTATGCATTTAAAAATTTTAGGTACTAGGCTGGGCATGGTGGTGTATGCCTATAACCCCAGTGGCTTAGAAGGCTAAGGTAGGAGGATCTGGAGTTCAAAGCCAAGCTCAGCAAATTAGTGAGGCCCTCAGCAACTCAGTAAGAACCTGTCTCTAAATAAAACACAAAAAAAGGGCTAGAGATGTGGCTCAGTGTTTAAGCCCCTCTGGGTTCAATTCCCATTACCAAAAAAAAAGTTGTGGAAATAATATTCAATATCATTCTATGAAGATGAAGACATCTAATTTTAAGCTTAAGATGTAATGTTTGGAGGGATACTAGGAATTGAACCCAGAGGCACTTTACCACTGAGCCACACCACAAATCCTTTGAATTTCTTATTTTGAGGCAGGATCTCAGTAAGTTGCTAAGGGCCTTGCTAAATTGCTGAAGCTGCCCCCAAACTTGCAATTCTCCTGCCTCAGACCCCAAATCACTGGGATTACTGGCTTGCACCATTGTACCCAGCAGGAAGTATACTCTAAAATTTATTTCAAGGTATAACATTTCAGTAGAATGCACTCTACAGATTCATATAGAAATTCATATGATAGGGGGCTGGGGTTGTAGCTCAGTGGTTGAGCACTTGCCTAGCATGAGTGAAGCCCTGGGTTTGATTCTCAGCACCACATATAAATAAAATAAGTAAATAAATAAAGGTCCATCAACAACTAAAAAAATTTAAAGAAAAAGAAATTAATGTGATAGAGAAATCTATAAACAATTAACTGTATGACAACAAGTTAATCTATATAAAATGGACAAATGCCTAGAAACACAAATTACCAAAATGATTCAAGAAGAAATAGAAAATCTCAACAGACTTATAGTAAGACATAGAATCTGTGGTCAAAAACCTTCCAACAGGGCTGGGGATGTGGCTCAGTGGTAGAGCACTTGCCTAGCATGTGTGAGGCACTGGGTTTGATCCTCAGCACCACATAAAAATAAATAAATAAAATAAAGGTATTGTGTCCATCTACAACTAAATAAAATAAAATAAACAAACAAACCTTTCAATAAAGAAATTTCCAGGACTAGGGGCTGGGGATAGAGCTCAGTTGGTAGAGTGCTTGCCTTGCATGAGCAAGGCCCTGGGTTCAATCCCCAGCACCACAAAAAAAAAAAAAAAAAGAAAGAAAAAGGAATTTCCAGGACTAGATAGTTTTATGGATAAACTCTATAAAACATTTAAATGAAGAACTAACACCAATCTTTTTCAAATTCTTCCAAAATTAGAGAGGCTGGGGCTGGGGTGTAGCTCAGTGTTAGTGCATAGCTTACTTAGCATGTGCAAGGTCCTGGGTTCCAGTCTTAGAACTGAAGGGGAAGAAAAAGCTAGCACTTCCTAATGCATTCTGAAGCCAGCAATTACCCAGATACCAAAGCCAGCAAAGATACCTCCAGAAAGAAACCTACAGACCAATATCCCTTATAAATAAAGATGCAAAAAGATTCATTCCAGGAACTCAAGGGAGGTTTAACATAAGAAAATCATAGTGCTACATTATATAAATAGGACAAAGAGGGAAAACATGGTCATCTCAAAAGGCTTAGAGAAAACACTCATGACAATTCAATGCCTTTTCTGTTTTTGGTACCAAGGATTGAATCTAAGAGTGTAGTAGCACTGAGCTACACCCCAGCCCTTTTTATTCTTTGATTTTGTGATAGAGTCTCCTTAAATTGCTGGCGCTGGCCTTGAATTTGTGATCTTTCTGCTTCAACCTCCCAGAATTACTGGGATTATAGGGTTGCACCACCCATTCCCCCAAGGCTCAAAAGCCCTTACAACATGGAAACCCTCAGAGACTAAGAGTGAAAGGAAACTTCCTTAACATGATAAAGGGAATTTACCAAAATGCACAGTTAACATTACAATGAATATTAACTATGAAAGCTTTCCCACCAGGACTAGGAACAAAACAAGGATGGGCACTTCCTGAAACTAAAGAGAGCTGAGGGTTGAACAACATGGTGAATGCGCTGAATTGTACTTTTCATTTATTTTTTAGCAGTACTGGGGATTGAACCCAATGGAACTCTAGCACTGAGCTATATCCCCAGCTCTTATTATTATTTTTTTAATTTTCAGACAGGGTCTGGTTAAATTACTGAGGCTGGCCTCAAACTTGCTATCCTCCTGCATCACCCTCCAGAGTAGCTGGAATTACAGGCCTCGGTCACCTCACCTGGCAAATTGTACACTTTAAAACAATTAAATGTTATGTGAGGGCTGGGGCTGGGGCTCGAGTTCAGTGGTAAAGCACTCGCCTTGCATGTGGAAAGCACTGGGTTTGATCCTCAGCACGACATGTAAGTAAAATCAAAGTATTGTGTCCATCTACAACTAAAAAAATATTTTTAAAAAAGTTATGTGAATTGGGCTGGGGATGTGGCTCAAGCGGTAGCGCACTCGCCTGGCATGTGTGCGGCCCGGGTTCGGTCCTCAGCACCACATACAAACAAAGATGTTGTGTCCGCTGAGAACTAAAAAAAATATATATATATATTAAAAAGTTCTCTCTCTCTCTCTCTCTCTCTCAAAAAAAAAAAGTTATGTGAATTTTACCTCAATACAATTTTCACAAAATGAATCATTCAGTCACCTTGGTTTACTGATCATAAGTATGTTTCATATGTTTAACTAGCAGAAAACAGTTACAATTTAAAGATTGCATTATAACACTATGAATAGCAAATTTCATTTACAATTCAAGATAAATGTGATAAAAGTCAAATTTTTTAAAAAATCAAATTAAAAGCCGAAAACTACTTTTAAGAGAGCCTGCAAATTTCCCTCTCAAAGTTAGTATGCCCTTCAAAAACTGGAAGCTAGATGATCTTATGAATAAAAACAAACTTTAATGCTAAATCCATATGAAATTCAAAAGTTAATTCTGCTTCACCTGCAGCAAAAACTGTTTTTGATGTACTTATTTTTCCTTCATTACTGTTTAGAACTCTATTTCTCTTTTTTTGGGGGGGAGTACAGGGGATTGAACTCAGGGGCACTCCACCACTGAGCCACATCCCCAGCCCTATTTTGTATTTTATTTAGAAACAGGGTCTCACTGAGTTTCTTAGGGCCTAACAAGGCCTCACAAAGTTGCTGAGGCTGGCTTTGAACTCCAGATCCTCCTGTTTCAGCCTTCTGAGCAGCCCCAGCCCTGCTTAGAGCTCTGTTTCTCAAGGAAGAACTTGTTAGGAATGTAAATTCTCAGGCTCTGCCCCAGACTCACTGAATCAGAAACTCTGGGGGAAGACCTAGCCAGCCATGTTTTAACAAGTCCCCCATGTGCTCACTCAAGTCTAAGAACCACTGGTTAAGACAAGTAAGCTTGGACTGGGGATATAGTTCAGTTAGTTGGTAGTGCACTTGCCTTGCATGCCCAATCCCCAGCAACACACACACACACACACACACACACACACAGAGAGAGAGAGAGAGAGAGAGAGAGAGAGAGAGAGAGAGAGAGAGAGAGAGAGAGAGAGAGAGAGAGAGAGAGACAGAGAGACAGAGAGACAGAGAGACAGAGAGAGAGAGCAAGCAAATAGCTTAAGTCTTGGACAAGGAGGCTGGTATCAGCATTTTCTTACCAGGGCATGCTGGCTCATAAATGTCATGCTGTTTCTTTTCACTCTTAACGTGTCAGCTTGGAATACCTGTGAATTATCACTAAGGACAAAAAGAAAACACTTGTTATATAAAGTTTATTACAATTTTTTTTAAAAAACAGTGCTGGAAATGGAATTTAGGCCTTATGCATGCTAGGCAAGCACTCGACCACTGAGCTACATCCTCAAGTCTGCAAATTTTTTCAAGAAATAAGATTTCTAATACTTAAATAGCAACACTGTTAATTGTAAATGGCATTCTGGTAGAGACAACTGTGCAGATGTAGAAATTAACACACACACACACACATACACACACACACACACTTAAAAGTACACATCTTAGTCCATTAAGCTTAAACAAGTTACCATATAAGAAAAGAAATTCTTGGGGCTGGAGATGTGGATCAAGCGGTAGCGCGCTCGCCTGGCATGTGTGCGGCCTGGGTTCGATCCTCAGCACCACATACAAACAAAGATGTTGTGTCCGCCGAATACTAAAATATAAATATTTTTTAAAAATTTTTAAAAAAGGAATTCTCATGCATGCCACTTTACCTCTAAAGCTAGAGAAAAAGAATAATTTATTATGACCTTGGAAATACATCATTTTCAGCGTAAACCTGTAATTCGTTTAAATTTATGATTGGAGGGCTGGGGATGTGCTCAAGTGATAGCACGCTCGCCTGGCAGGCGTGTGGCCCTGGTTCGATCCTCAGCACCACATACAAACAAAGATGTTATGTCCGCTGAAAACTAAAAAATAAATATTAAGAAAATTCTCTCTCTCCCCCTCCCTCTCTCTTTAATAAATAAATAAATAAATAAATAAATAAATAAATTTATGATTGAAGCTGGGCACAGTGTACGTGTACCCCTGTAATCCCAGCAGCTCAGGAGGCTGAGACAGAAGGATTGCAGGTTTGAAGCCAGCCTCAGCAACTTAGCAACACTTTAAGAAACCTAATGTGACCCGGTCTCAAAATAAAATATAAAAGGGCTGGTGATGTGGCTCAGTGGTTAAGTGCACTTGAGTTCAATCTCCAGTACCAAAATAAAATTTATGATTGGAGCTACCCAAATTTTACATGAACAAGAGGGATAACTGATAGCAGGTGTAGATAGAACTGAAATCTTCCACAGATATGTTTTGTTTGGCCCACATGGTGTTAAAACATTTCTGAATTCATTGTGCAAACTGAGAAATTTCATATTTAAAAAAATCCAGATTCCAGATTTTTGGCTTCTATTGAAAATTTGCAAGATTTTGCAACACTGGGCTCCATTCCCACATGGCAACAACACACTGAAAGTGAGCAGCTGCTGCCCACTGAAAATGGAGTAGGGGTCCTCACCTTGGACTATTGCCCACTCAGGTGGCCTCAATTCTATTTGAGCTTATAACCTTGAAGAAGTCATCTTTTCCTTTACATGTTTTCTTTTTACTATAACTTTTTCTTTTGTACTGGGGATTGAACCCAGGGGCACTCTACCACTGAGCCACATTCCCGGCCCGGCCCTATTTTGTATTTTATTTAGATACAGGGTGTCACTAGGTTGTTTAGTGCCTCACCATGGCTGAGGTTAGCTCCCGATCCTCCTGAATCAGCCTCCCCAGCAGCTGGGATTACAGGCGTGAGCCACTGTGCCCGGCTCATAACTTTTTACTTTGAAATAGTTTAAGACTCACAAGAAGTTGCAAAAAGTATGCCAATGGTTCCCATGTACCTATCATCCAGGTTTCTCCAATGATAATAAGAAATCATTTTTAATACTGTTCTTTGGCTGCTTTTGTTACCGAAAGCTGGGTCCTTGTCCCCGATGCCAATTCATGCCAATTTAATAACAAGGACACAGTTTTGAGAAAAAGGAAAAAGAAGCCTTATTGCTTTGCTAGCAAAGGAGCACTGGAGACTCTTATCTGGACACTGTGGTTCCACCCATCATCGAGAACAAAGAACTATTAAAAGAAGCTCAGCAGCGGAGCACTTGCCCAGAACAGGTGAAGTCCTGGGTTCGATCCTCAGCACCACATAAAAATAAATAAATAAAATAAAGGTATTGTTTCCAACTACAACTAAAAAATAAATATTAAAAAAAAAGCTCTTAAAAGCTGCATTCCAGGTATGCCTCAAGGGGAGTCCCAGGTGTACCCCGAGGGCATGGTGAAGTGAAATTCACTTATTCAGTTGTTAATATGGACTATAAAGCACTTCTCAGGTTGACTTCTTCTAGTGGTGAGCTCAAAACAGATAACTAGGCCTAGGAGGGGAAATGGTAATCTTGTTACCTACCCCTAGATCAGGTATGGGGAAGGAGAGGAAAAGAAAAACAAGTCCCTTTTAAAATAAGCAGCTTGGGGCTTGGGATGTAGCTCAGTGGTTGAGCACTTGCCTCACAGGTGTGAGCCACTGGGTTGATACTGAGCACCACATAAAAATAAATAAATAAAATAAAGATGTTGTGTTGAGAGCTACAGCCAAAGCGGCCCCAGCAAACTTCCAGCTGATTGGCTCTCCGCGCCCCAGCAAACTTCCAGCTGATTGGCTCCTCTGCGGTGATGCTCATTGGGCTGTTTTCCTGCCCTTTCAGACCACGGAGCTGCTCATTGGGGGACTCTTTTGGCTCTGTCCACGCAACCCAGCCAATCAGGCTCAAGAGCTGTAGAGAGGCTAGCAAAAAAAGCGGGTGGTGGCAGTTGGGCTCTGAGGGAATTCCTGAAGAGCTCATGTGGTGCCGAGTGTGTTCTAAAAATAAAGTTCGTTTCTGCTTGACAACTGGCTCGTGAATTGTGCCCAGCCAGACTGTGGCAATATTGTGTCCATCTATAGCTAAAATATTTTTAAAAAATAAAAAATAAGCAGTAGCGAAGGATATATTCAAAAGGTAAAGTGGACTAATGTTACATTCACATCCAGTCTTTTGGGGTTTACCTCCATACTCTCTCTTACTTGTATTTTATTCTTTTCAGGCTCCTTGCTAAGAACCAATTCAAAACCTTTCCAGTCTGGTGTGGTGGTACATGAAAGAACAGCTTGCTGTCTTACAATTTCAGTGATTTTATAGTCTGCTTAACTAAGTTTTGTTTTTGGGGGGTTGGCAGTACTGGGGAATTGAACTAATGGCACTTTACCACTGAGTTATATCCCCAGCCCTTTTTATTTTCTTTTTTTGAGACAGGGCCTAGCTAAGTTGCTGTGACTGGCCTTGAACTTGTGATCCTTCTGCCTCAACCTCCCCAGTCAATGGGATTACAAGCCACTGCACCAATCCTGAACTTAGTTATTTACCATGATATTCAAAGCCCTCCATGATTTGGCACCAGATTTGTGGATTTCAGGAAGTAGTAAAATTTCAATACAAAATCTAGGCACAGGCCTGTAATCCCAGCAGTTGGGGAGGCTGAGACAGGAGGATAGTGAGTTCAAAGCCAGCCTTAGCAACGGGGAGGTGCTAAGTAACTCAGTGAGACCCTGTCTCTAATAAAATACAAAAATAGGACTAATGATGTGGCTCAGTGGTAGAGTGCCCCTGAGTCCAATCCCTGGTACTTCCCCTCAAAAAAATCTAGGCACAAATATCCAATAACTACCTTTCTCTTTTGCCAAATATGGCACAGTGCAATGACAGCAGTTCACAATAACCTATTATACATTTTTTGAATAACTAAAAGAGAAGAAAGGGGGCTGGGGTTGTGGTGCTGGATTCAATCCTCAGTACCACATAAAAATAAATAAATAAAAGTATTGTGTCCAATTACAACTAAAATATAAATATTTAGGGCTGGGGTTGTAGCTCAGTGGTTGAGTGCTTGCCTTGCATGTATGAGGCACTGGGTTTGATCCTCAGAACCACATCAAAAAAAAAAAAAGATAAATATTTTTTTAAAAAAGGAGAAGAGAGAAAAGATCTGGAAGGTTGCAAACTTCATATGATAAGAACATGAAAATATTAATGAGCCTGATTTGATCAGTATATAGTATATACATGTATTGAAATATCATGCTGGGCATCATAAATATGTATACTATGTGTTAATCTAAAATTTTAAAAAATGGGGACTGGGAATGTGGCTCAGTGGTAGATGCTTGCCTAGCATTAGTGAAGACCTGAGCTGGATCCCCAACAACTCTCTCACACACACACACACACACACACACACACACACACACACACACACACACACCAAAAAAGTAAAAAAAATTACAAAATATTTGAGATTGAAATGTTAATTACCCTGATTTTATTATTATGCATTGTATGCATATATTGAATTATCACACTGTTTCCCATAAATATGTACAATTAAATAATAGTAATTAATTTTTTAAAATCTCATCATGGACCAACAGTAATGTTTCACTTATAAAAGCTCATTTTGGTATTTATAAAAATGTAGGGAATTAATGATCTCAGAATGCAGTGTAGGGCTTTAATAGGGAAGAAAAATACTCAAAGGACCCAAATGTATGGTAGAGTAAAATAAGTGCTTAGAGAGGCAAAGAACAGGACAATTAGCAGCTACATAACATATTTAATTACATAGCACTTAACTCTTTTTTTTAAAAATGGATTGGTAAAAAAAACAAAAAACCAGTCCCTTCACTGGGGATCAACACTGGTCAGCAGAAGAGCATTTGGAATCGAGGCCTATAGGGCAAAGTTCACCACTGAGCTGTCTGGATATCCCAGACCTATGCTTTTCTGCCTCCAAAGCCTGTTCTGTATACTCGAAATGCTGTCCCAGCCATCTGAAGACCTCTTTTCCAGAGTGTACTCTATGGATCCATTAAGGCCCATTTCAAATGTACCTTCTTCCTGAACTTTTTCCTTATCCTTCATCAATTCTTGCTTTAATTTTTCACTCCCTTCCTTGAATTTCTTTAGCACTTTCTCTACCTTCCTAAGCTTATTGAGACTTGATCCCATTTTGTAGCATGACAATTTGCATATTACAGGGAAGAACTCAATATTTTATAAATTTTCCCAACAATAACATGAATAGGCAGTCAATTATAAGTATATTTAAGGAACACTAATGGGTCACCTATTTTTACTATC